CCCATAAATGCGACGTCGCATATTTTTTCGAGTTTCTAACTTGCATGTAAGGATTTTGGTGGCATGCCAATTGTAGCCTTGTGGTTTGTATTACTCATTAACAAAAATTCAATATCTCTGAGCCAATTATAGAAGGCTTGTAAGTTGAGAGACTTCCACACAAGTTTCTCCCTTTTGACCTTTTTGGGTCTAAGCCCATTACCTTCCAGACACAATAGTTAATAGTTTTAAATATTTTCTTGCTTAAATGAACTTGATACCGTTTGAATTTTGATCACTGAGTTTGGGCGATTTTATAAATATGCTAACTTTTACTAGCATTCTCAAATTCTGGTAAACTAATAGGGTAAAACTATGATATTAAAAACTTATTTGTTAATACTGTATCGTATTTGTTACAAAATAAAGCTAATGTTATCATTCACTTTAGTGATGTTTTGACAAAATTGAGTTATTTCGGACTAATCTTAAAATGTTAGGACAAGTCTCGAGACGAAACTTAAAAAGTTAACAAAATAACATAGCTGAACCCGAATAATGACACATTAAATCTTGTATCAGTATAGAAGCATAAATGTTAACAAAAATAACAGTTGTACCGTGGCTGTGAACAAAATTGCTAAATTTTGTTCATATTACCATAGAGACGATGTCCTTGCTACTACACACAGAATTCGGCAAGGTACCTGTCAATTCACAAATATTCAAAAGAATTATTTTATCAAACCTTAGGGATGGTAGTGTAATTTATCTTTATAGAATTTCATGGGGTTGGTGAACCTGGCCTAAGTGCTATAAATGCTTACGTTTGTTTGGTCAAAAACACTCAGACACTCACTGTTCAAAAAAAAAAAAACAAAACTATTAACCACTCTCCAGAAAACAGCGTGTTATAAAGCATAATCTGGGTTGGCACTGGATTGACAGCCACTTCTCTTGGCCATCTTTGCCAGACAAAATTAATTACCCCACACAACTTGGTCTGGACTGAACCTTCCTATTCTCTTTCCCACCAATTCTCTCCTCCCTATAAATACCTACCCACATAGCCAAAGTCTCATCACCCCACAAAAAAAAAAAAATTATATTTTCTGATTTCCACAGCTTTCAATTCACTTGTGCAGTACACTTATTTTCGCTACCAATGGTTTCTTCAACTTCAACGGTTTTGATGTTATCTATTCTCCTTGCCTCCCTCATGGCTGCCACAGCCAAAGGGCGGAGCTATGCATGGTCCAAGGTCCCAAAAACAAAAAAACATTATTATCTAAGTATATATTTGTATAATATATCACTTGTGCCAACTCAAAACTAAAGACAAAAATGTTAGACTTACTACCGTCCACCCAAAAGAATTAAAAAACCAAGTCCACTTAAAACAAAAAAATAAAATAAAATTCTAGGATCATATTGTTGAAATCTAAGTATTGTACAAAAAATTACAACTTAATCACGTTTACGGTGTGAGTCAATGGAATTGAGTTAGGATTTACTCCCAAAACTTGGGATGGATCCCAAATTATTGAAATTTGGTATCGATCCAATTTTTTAACCGATTAAGTTGTCAGTTGATCATAGTGTCACATGTCTTTATAATTTTTTTTGGATATGGTATGACGTTTTAAATTTTTCTGCGATACTTGTAGTAAAGATTAATATACAGGTCAAACTTGTTCCCAGAAACTCGGTTGACACTTTCACCACCTATTACTTAAATTTTTTGATATTTAACATTCTACTCTAAAAAATTAAGTTAAACGCGAATGTCACATTGTTATTTATAAATTACTCATTCAGGTATGAATTGGTTGAAGTTAATGATAAATGCTCATGGTGATGTCTACTGTATTGTAGTTGTCCTCGCAAGGATCAGCCCATGATGGAATAGACTGAGTTCTTGGGGAACTTGACTGGGGAACCATACCTCCTTCATACAAATGTGTTCAGTCAGGGCAAAGGCAACAAAGAGCAGCAATTCTACCTCTGGTTTGATCCCACTGCTGATTTCCACACCTATTCCATACGCTGGAATCCTCAAAGCATTATGTGAGTGCTATCAATGGAGTTTTTGTATTATTTGAATTGTATCATTATGTTCATACCAAATATTAGTCAATCCTCTCAAATTTTGTTCCAACTCGTTAATTAGTTTGGTAATAGACAAAGCCTAACTGGTGAACTAGAGATCCAGGACTATATTGTTTCTTCTCAATCATAGCATGCACCTATTAGCGATAATAAACTGAGAAGCCCGTCGATCTACATGCCAACAAAATTAAATAAAGAAACTCTACCTCAACAATGATTAACCAATAAAACACCTATATCACAGATTTTTATCGTGTAAAAATCATTTTATTCGTCTTTGACACTAACTTGACTCGTTTATTATTCATATTAACGAGTCCTATCATTTTTGAATTAATATCGACAACTAGCTCTTTTATTCTACTACAAATCCAATTACAAATCTCAATTAATTCCTTGGAACTCTACATTGATTTGTCTATGTGTTTTATGTGATCAACTTTTCTGTGGATGGGACACCAATTAGAGAATTCAAGAACGCTGAATCAGTGGATGCTGCATAACCCAAAAACCAAGCAATGAGGATATACTCTAGCCTATGGAATGCTAATGACTGGGCCACACACGGTGGTCGGATCAAGACAGATTGGACCCAAACTCCTTTCACTGCCTCTTACAGAAACTTCAATGTCAATGCATGTGTATGGTCATCTAGTTCATCTTCTTGTAGTTCAAGTTCTTCATCATCATCTTCAACCTCTGCCAATAATTCATGGTTAAATGAAGAATCGGATTCCACAAGCCAGAAAGGCTTAAATGGGTTCAAAAGAACTATATGGTTTATAACTACTGCTCTGATTCAAAGCGCTTCCCTCAAGACTTCCCTCCCGAATGTGCTCTCAACAACTCAACATAGGAAAGAGAAGGATTGCATAACATTTAGTCCTTTGAGCAGAGTTTTTGCCCCATAGCAATTCTTGGTTTCTTGTTTGGTTTATGTAAGTCAATTCTTTTATTTTTTTAATTTTGGTGATTGTAACTGAAACAAAAAGAAGTATATATATCATTATTTTTGTAGTATTCTATAAGCAATTGAGCAAAAGAGGAATGTATGGTTTGGTAATGACATTCTTAGTTTTCTTTTGTAAGAATAGTGAGAAAGACAAATCAGTTGGCTTGTGAGAACAAAAGTTAAAAGTAAAAAAACAAAAATCTGATAATGCTTTTGTAATCAATTTTGTTTAAAGGGAAAAAACTAATATCATCGTAAAAGTAAAATCATATGTGATTACTAAGCAATAAAAGTGAACGTTATGAATTTTAATACACAAGTAATATACAAATAATATAATTGTATATATGCACATGTATGCTACTATACATGCCTTTAAGTTTGGAAAAAAAGAGGGACTGAACCCAGACAAACAAAAAACAATAAAATATGCAAAAACAAACAATAAAGTTAAAAAAGTACTTTAAAAAATCAAAAAAAAGTCAAAGTATCTAAAAATGTTAACAACTAGTACCATACTTTTTTTCTTAAACATTATTTTTCTGACTTGATTGAATCTACTCCAAAGTATCGCAAGGGTCTAGTTTGTCACATTTTGCCGTTGTGATGACAGTAAGTCTTGCACTTGGTCTTAGCCAACAACACTCCAAAGGGTTTCTCATAGAAAATTCATCAAACACAAGGTAGACATGTAATTACAAGACAACTTCCCAACTTTGACTTTTCAAAACTAAGCACAAGAAGTCAGGCTAAAGGTTTGCTTACAAAATATATACCCTTTCGTTGTTGATGCAATTTGCAGGTCTATCAAGTATTTATAGCTATCCTGTGGCAGCTACACCCTAATTGCCTAAGGAGCGGTGGCACCAACCATCCTAGTTCAACAATGCCTTTCAGTTGACATCCCTTATTGCTAGAAAATGTTGGCACAATCACAACAGTGTTCCGACAAATCATTAGGCCATTTGAACCAATCAGATCTACCCCTAACATGCTGAAACAGTTGTGCCCCCCTATCCACGTCATAAGTCAGCCACCAACTACTCGTAACTGCTTGTACAGTCAGTCAATGTCACCCCTTTGATACCCATACTACCATGTCCATACCAATTTTGTCAAGTCATGCCCAAACCACGGCTTGGTCTTCAATGCATGCAAGTAACACCCTTTGCCTAGTCCACGGTTATGCATGGTTGCCTTTGCCTTTGACATGCCCAATCATGGCCATGAGATGCTGTCATCCTCAGCCATGCATGGGGTTTATACAACAACAAATCCAACATATGCCACTATCTCACATTTTCTTGGGGTTCTAACTTGCCTGCCTTGCCTTAACACGATGGCAAGGACTTTGGGATGGTGCCTTACATTAGCTTGCCAAAACTCAGGTACATAGGGATTGTCAGGCCCAAGTGCCCCGAGAATAACCCCCACTCTCACTCCCTTATACCAGTTTGAGGAACAAAAGCTCAAGTGTCAACAATGGCCGTCAAAGATGCTGAGGACTCATTTACGAAGCCACCACTGTTGCACCTGTCTTAGTATTTCTACAAAATCGGCTTATCAATTGGCCCATCGACTATGCAATCTTGCACTGTCCAACAATCAATCATGCCGACTACTTCAATTCTCGTAACGGCACATTACTTAACATTTTAAGAGTTGTCATGCATGTTGAGGTTGCTTAGGCAAGTACACCCCCACCTTAACCTTGGTATGGAGCAACACTGGACAAGTCTCTCTCATGTCATGGTTGTGTCAAATCGTCAACGGTTAACACTAAGCATGACCACAGGTATACACCAAAATAGGCATAAATACTCATTGCAGTAGAAGAGTCGAGTTTTTCTCTTTTTTTCTCATAACTATATTTATGATATTTTTCATAAAATATAATTTCGAAATAAGCTAATATAAACCAGCTAGCTCAAAGATGTGGTCATATCTTTGTCAAATTTGCCTATAACACCTTGAAAGCAATAGCTCCTCCATCACTGCACACACTCCGCCTAGGCATATAGCTGCAACATTCAAATTGCTTGGACTTAGCTGTACATTGTTCATCAGCACAGAAGATCACTGTGGTACTGACTTCTCATCATCATCATTTAATGGGTTCAGTCATGGGTAAGACTATAGTGCGAAGATGTTACTGTATCAAAACTACTATTTTTTTGAGCTAAATTACAACTAAATGGGTAAAATTACAGCCAAAAGAATTAAAAATCGATCCCAAACAATCTCATTTTGTTACAACCTCATCAGATTAAATTTTAATATTACCCTTATTTTATAGTAACTTCTATATATTATTGAAAACTCTAAATGGGTAAAAATTACAACCAAAACAATTAAAAATCAACTCCAAACAATCTCATTTTGTTACAATCGTATCACTCTTATTTTTTGGTACTGTAGTTTCCGCTCTAACTATATGTTCGTTGAGCCCAAACCCAATTCAAGCTCAAAACAATATAGCAAAGGGCAAAAGCATGTGATCAGCGGAGAATAGGATTTAAAAGTTTCTCTTCTAATAAAAAACATATTGCCTGTCACATGTGAGAGAGAGAGAGAGATGCAATTAGAACTATCAGCACATACCTGGTCCCAGTCCCAGTTGGAACTGGATGTCCTTCCTGGGTGAACAACCTGAGTTCGAGCCTTACCATCTTTATTTTCTTCCCAACCGAACATATAATGTCCATTGGATGGCACCTTCCAAAAGCTGAATGAAAAATGTTGGCACCCTAACACCCTAAGCAAAATCATTTGTGGAGAAAGTTCTACAGTAGTGAATTCATGTCACCAACTCAATAATTTACCGCTGACTCACAAGGATCTTCTGGGAACAAGCCACAAGTGCATTTGGAGAATGTCCACAGGTCACACTTCATCATTGAGCATTGTCCACACGCCACAGTTTCTAACAACGAACAATTGAACTGATCCCATTCATACAACCAGTGCCATGCCAGAACACTGCTCATGTTTTTTTTTTTCCTGAACCAACCCCCCACCCCACATTTTCCTTGTTTTTTCCTTCCAAAAAAGGTATAAAAGAAAAGAAGCCAAAACAGAATGTGGAAAGTAAAAATATCTGACAAAGCAATTACAAGTGGCCGCATGGTGCTAAATTTATCAATTTCATGTTCTTTACTTAATCTATTCCAGAAATTATTATGCAATGTATAATGTTCTGTTCATGCGTATTTTTTCCCGGAAGTTAATTCACTCATAAATTCTACCAAACCATGCAAATTTAATTCCAGATTCTTGGGGTCTAGTACAGGACAAGCGAATTATCACAAGAGTAAAAATATTAAGCACAATTTTCACACAATAGTCAACAACAAATATAGGTCATAGCCAGCTTGACTAAGTTTCATACATGCTGCCCTAATCAGAACATCAGGAAGGGTCACAACTACCTTCAGGTCTAAAACATATATTATTCGCACACAAGATGTGGAGAGATAAGTGAGAAGAAACCAAGTTAATAATGACTATTAATCTCAACAACTTACTGTACATGAAACTGTACATGCCAACTCTGATGTTGGATGTAGAAACATCAGAGGTTGTCAAGACTCTTGAAAACTTCTGTACAGTTCCAAAGCCTTGAATTTTTGCATCAATTGTTGTATCGTACTGCAGTACAGGTAGATGCTCAAAATCTGATACCCAACAGCATCTTCCCAATCCATGCTATTCATCCTCTAACTCTACAATCCTTGCCCGCCTCTCAGCCGCCTTCTTCCTGATGAAGAAGCCCCACCTCATTGCTGCCTTGATTTTCAGCCAACCCACGACAGCTTTTCCAGGACGGGTGTGATCCTCATCATAACTGAAATTCGGTGAAGGTGAGGGCAGGTATGAGGTGAAAGCAAACCCGTCTTCAGGCACATTAACAGAGGCATGACCTCCCATGCTGAAGAGTCGAAGCAAATGCTGCATATCTTCATTCTCAAGCATCTCATGACTCCTAATGCGAATCTCCTCCTCTGACAAGAAGTCCTCAGCACCCTTGTCACGGTTGTGGGACCAGTCATTAAAGGGGTTAAGATTAGATTGCCGAACAGATGAGCTGACGGTTTGGAAGGATGAAGATGATTGCGAAGGACCAAGTGCCAGCCCAACCTTGTTATCATATCCGTTGCCTTGCATATGCTGAGAATTGTTAAGATGCTGGTCATGGGGAGCAAACGAAGTGCTGTCAAACAGGGTGCAGGANCTCAGCACCCTTGTCACGGTTGTGGGACCAGTCATTAAAGGGGTTAAGATTAGATTGCCGAACAGATGAGCTGCCGGTTTGGAAGGATGAAGATGATTGTGAAGGACCAAGTGCCAGCCCAACCTTGTTATCATATCCGTTGCCTTGCATATGCTGAGACTTGTTAAGATGCTGGTCATGGGGAGCAAACGAAGTGCTGTCAAACAGGGTGCAGGAATCGGAATTCCCCAGCTGAGACTGGGTTTGGTATCTAGTTGCCATATTCTCATTATAACCTGAACCTGTAATTGGAATCAAAATAGAGGAAGACACCAATTAATGTACTTTGTGAAGTAATCTGTGCATTCATTCGTATGTATATACACTGGTAAAGAAGAGAACATCAAGCAAAGATATCATGGCCGACGTTGAAACTCATTATAATTGTGCACAGTGTGCCAACTATTTACCCAGCAACATGAACTAGCACTCCACGAACAAAAAAAAAAAAGAGGGATGCACAGTGTCCCAACCTCCTTATTGGTATGAGTAGCTTCTAACTGACTTAGAAAAATGTCCTCCATCATGACACATGAAAAGTGTGCACACAAGCATGTGTGTATAGGCCACCCACGCCCCCGACCCAAACAAAAAATGAAATAAAATAGCATCTCTCTTCAGTCTTCACAGATTGATTTCTCTAGAGAATGCTTAGTGTGTTTGGCTATCGCTACAACAGTGCGAAGATACCTGTCACTTCCCCATGTCATCTTCCTTTCTCACCACAATACAAATACTCATCATTTATCAAAAAAAAAAAAAAANATTTCCCCATGTCATCTTCCTTTCTCACCACAATACAAATACTCATCATTTATCAAAAAGAAAAAAAAAGAAGGAATGTTATGTTTGGGTTCCATTTGAGAGCCATACATTCACCAACATTGGCATATTCATTATGATAATAATCCATAGACAGGGTCAAATTGAACAAGGCTGGATATTAATAAAGACATCTTGTCAAGCCAAATGATCCAGAAAATTAAAATACATGCAAGTATTTATTTTTATTTTTGATACAAAACACAACCATTTTTTTGACAAGATTTTAGCGTGTAAAAGATTATATGAAGGTGCAATTATATATGTAGCTGCTTTCAATTTCAAATCAAGAGGTATACTTTTGGTCAATATTTAATTGCCATGTTTTAATTTAAGATACTTTGCTTTCAATTTATTATAAGAAGCGAATCGCATAAATCCTCCACTCCAGTTACTAAAACCAAACAATCTTAACACCATAGGAAATCTCCTTTATGGTTTAACAAAACCATTTTTATTTCATTATTGCTCACTTCTTAGGAGAATACTATGAACCCACCAACAGTGGCATGTTGAGATAAGTGAGGCACATGGCAATAAAGATAAAAATAACCAAATACGTATCATTCCATCTGAGATTGCCTGTGGTAAGGAAGACCAATTCCACTGAGAACCTATGTCCATATGAAGCAGAGACCAATGACAGCACCCAAACACAATAGGGTAAAACTAAATGTGCAACATAGAAATATAAGGCCAGAAAGAGCATAGATGAAGACCAAGAGAAATTAAATCATATGACCTGAGTTAATCAGGTATCCCCCCATGATCAAATAAGGGGAAAAAAAGACGTAGCAGTTGAACCCAAATGAGTAGATACAGCTTCGCAGATTTAGGTTGAGCCTATAAAATATAGTATGCCTTTGATACACCCCCAAAGCAGATAGACAGTATTACAGAATCAAATTCCAGAAGTCCAGAGACCAAATTTTACAATAATGGCATGGATATTCTAAATGCACTTGACACCCCCTTGGGTGCCTTTTGGTTATTAGTTTAGTAATTAATTCCCCCTTCAAGGTGAGAATATAGAGCAAGAGAGGCATCGAAGAACTCTAGTTTGCCAGTGAGATCAAGGATAAACAAATTGTACACAAAAAGGAAGTGCACGAAAAGTTAACATGGACCACACATTTTTTTCAAAACTGATTGCCACATCCATATAGGTGAACTGGAAATTATTCCAGAATTTGCCACCACACCAGTAAATACGCCTCACTCAATTTAGCCGGCTTGGAAAATAATTACTATAGTCTACATATCACAAGCTAAGGTACATTTTTAAGCCAGTAATGCTTACCTCCAATTAGCAGGCTCGAATCTATTGAAGACAAATCAGAAGGAACGGAAACTGGCAAACGTGTTGGGGGAAGCTGATTATCCAAAGCATTAGGATAATCTACGGGGTCCATTGGGAGTTCATTTTGAGATGTACTCAACCTCTTATTTTGCATAAAGCTCAAAAGCGACTTCCCATCATACTCGGCAACTTGGTTCCAATTGTCATATGCTTTCTTCATCAAGGTATCCACATATACCTGCAGAGAAAAAGAACAAAGATATTCAAGTCCATGTTTCATCCATTATAATCGTAATTAAATTTGTGGATGTGCTTGTTTATATTCATATCTGAAAGGAGAAAAACATATGTACAGATAATACATATATAAATTTATGTGAGTATTGACTCACAATACTGTCTTAAATAACTAACTTAACAGGTACACCGTACACATTTAGAAAACATTGAGTACGTTACTACAAATTTGACTGAATATATAACGAACATGTTCACCAATCGTATTCAAAAGTCAACTTTCAATTAATAAAGTCCACTATGAGGAGCAATAGGAACAGCATTGTGTTCATATGACAAATAATATGATTGAAATAAGACAGAAGAACAAAATAGTACAAATTAAAATTCTAGATGGAAGAAGGCTTTGCTCCCATGAAAAATACAGAAACCTATTTTTAAGTAACGAAAATTATTGTCATGAAAAAGGAAACTACCACCAACCTTCTGGCTGTCAGAAAGTGAATCTGCTGAGTAATATTGATCACTAGATATAAGGCCACTCAGCTCGTAGATGTTGTTGAAAACAACACCTACATTTCTTGTACCTTCAGGATAATATACATAAAGCTTCCCACTCAAGACGCAAGTTTTTGCATGTTCTATTAGAGCCTCCCACATTTTATTTGACATACCACTTCCAAGGATCTACAAGCAATGGTAAAAAATGTTAGAAGAGAATTACAGAGCATGGACTCTCTTTTTGACACTACTCGCACACTTACAGTCCGCAGTTTTTGGGAGTCTCGAACCACAAGTCGAAGAAAATCTTCAACACTTAATATTCCTGCCTTATTTAGCCTCTTGTGGAATGATCCATCCTTGCCAATCTTCTCCAACCGCCATACTTCATCATTTAAAGCAGGCGGATAATGTTTCTTGTATACTGTCAAGGGGAAAAAACACCTCAAAAAATATTCCAAAACAAACTGAGAAGTGAAGTAATAAAAAATGCACTGGGACGCCTTACATTCGCCTCTGTGATCTTTAACTGTGAATGCTTCTGTCTTTGCTTCACGTATATGTACACCCTCGCAACATCCTGAGGCAACCTTCAGGCCAAGTCTGAATTTCCGGCTCCTTATCCAGCTTGAGTTATCTGTAAATGTAAGCTCCCCTAAAGTCCCCACGCCTTCCTTAAGTGTCACTTGCAAGTCTCCAGTCAAAAGTGGTCTTTTTCCTTCACGCTCTTTCACAACATGACTTTCAAATTCTTCTTCAGTCCAATTCTCATCATCTTCATTGTTAAAATCACCTTCCAGCACAACAACATCCAGCTTTACAGAAGATTGAGGTCCAGATGTCACAACATGGCCTGTATTTCCATCAACCAATACAATATGGATTGCAGCACCCTGCTCCCCTTCTACCTTCCCCCCTGTGAAGAGGGGCAGAGACAGTCTGGATCTAAAGTGCAGCTGCAAGTTTCTTCCATCTGGCCCTTCAATTTGTTTAGGTGAAGACCTGAATGAAGTTTAAGAACAAATAAATCACAACACGAAGTCAAATCACATGGTTTACACAGGAGCGGAATTGGTGAATCAAAAAACTTTCAAAGGAGAACCCAAGCATTTATGCTAGAGAATCCTTCAAATTTTTTAATTTCTTGAGTGGTACAAATGCCGGAAAACTAGAAATTCCACATTAAGAAATAACATACAGGCTTCATCATTCTCAGTGACGTGACAAATGACAAGACAGAAACTCAATAAAGAAACATATCAAAGATGGCACTGTTAAAATGCATCAGATGTACAGATAAACATGCACCAAATATAATGCACTGACAAGTTCCACCATGTAGTCAATTTCTCGTTAACCCTAAATAAGCATAACATCATGGCTCGGGAAAATGATGAGGAATGACAGACTAAAAAATTTCATGCACATCAAATTGGTGGAGATCATAACCTTCTAAATAGATACATAGGGGCGAAGTGCATTTCCTATCACAAGGAATCAGAGATAGAAAACCATCGATCAATACCCCAGATTTCCCCATGTCTTTTCTAAAACTAAGAACAAAGTCTATATATTTCTACATATAAACTAGATGACAGTGGATTCAGGTGGGAATCCCCCTCTTCCTCCAAGTTCTTGGTGCAAACTATCAGTACCATTTACCCTTTTAAATNCCCAGATTTCCCCATGTCTTTTCTAAAACTAAGAACAAAGTCTATATATTTCTACATATAAACTAGATGACGGTGGATTCAGGTGGGAATCCCCTCTTCCTCCAAGTTCTTGGTGCAAACTATCAGTACCATTTACCCTTTTAAATGATGCTATAAGCTGACCATTTTAAGCACAATGAGGATAGCTATCAAATGGTTGAGGAAGCGAGGACAGCTCATTAATCAGACAGAAGATGTGGAAAAAGTAACAACAATAACGGGGGTGTTACTTAGGGTAAAGAAGTTGAATTCCTCACATTTCAAAGCTATTAAAGAAGAGAATAATTAGGTGAGTAAAATCTACAGCAGACATATTTAGATAGAATAGATAGACGAAGAAGGAAGTAGAGAAAGAGAGAACAGATCCTGGATCGAGTGCGTAAAGGTCAATATGCCACAGATTCACATTTAAACAGACATATTTTACATTTGTATGTCAGATATACATATATGCACATCTGAGCATTCAAAAACAAACAAATAAAGGCAGAACCACAGAACACAAATATATATATATATATGCTCGCACGCACATAAATGCACTGATTAGCCTTATCAAGTCTATAATATCACTCTGCTCAAATTCTCCATGTTTCTAAGCCAATAGAAGTGGCGTGTCTAAGTTACAAATCAAACATCTTTTGTGTCTAAGNTATGCTCGCATGCACATAAATGCACTGATTAGCCTTATCAAGTCTATAATATCACTCTGCTCAAATTCTCCATGTTTCTAAGCCAATAGAAGTGGCGTGTCTAAGTTACAAATCAAACATCTTTTGTGTCTAAGAAATATCCAAAGANTGCTCGCACGCACATAAATGCACTGATTAGCCTTATCAAGTCTATAATATCACTCTGCTCAAATTCTCCATGTTTCTAAGCCAATAGAAGTGGCGTGTCTAAGTTACAAATCAAACATCTTTTGTGTCTAAGAAATATCCAAAGAGGAACATTGAAATTTAATGGTGATAAAATGTGCAAACATGTTGAAAAGCGCAATAGAGCTATTTTACAGATCTCCTGCCATTTTAAGTAATCAGGGATATCTCAAACCTTCCATTGAGTCTTGGAGGGCCTAACTTCGCCAAAGCACGTTCCACTTCTTCACTTACCTGTTTGATACCCACTTCCACGTAAGACAAGAAGAAGCTTGAAAAGGAAAAATACTGATCTTGTATGCACAATAGATACTCAAAAAAGAGGAAATTTCTTGATTAAAGTTACATAAAAGAAAACAGAAACATGAACTTTTAATTTTATGTGATATAAAAATTGGCAGGCCAATGCATGAGGCTTCTGCCACTAGAGTTGTTAACAGATCCGAGTAACTCGATCTAGGCTCAATTTTGATTAGTTCTTAAGCTTGTATAGTAAATGAGCCATCCAACCAAAGTATTGCNGATTAAAGTTACATAAAAGAAAACAGAACATGAACTTTTAATTTTATGTGATATAAAAAATGGCAGGCCAATGCATGAGGCTTCTGCCACTAGAGTTGTTAACAGATCCGAGTAACTCGATCTAGGCTCGATTTTGATTAGTTCTTAAGCTTGTATAGTAAATGAGCCATCCAACCAAAGTATTGCTTGACTCAGCTCGGCTTAATTACTTGTGTCTATAAGAAATAACTATGTCACTCTCAAACAATCCCATCCAAAGAATGAAACAATGAACAACCTCAAATATCCCCAAATAACTCTAGACCATATACACCTCTCTCCCTCTCTTCTCTAATAGATTTTTGAGAAATTAGAGNTATGTCACTCTCAAACAATCCCATCCAAAGAATGAAAGAACGAACAACCTCAAATATCCCCAAATAACTCTAGACCATATACACCTCTCTCCCTCTCTTCTCTAATAGATTTTTGAGAAATTAGAGTTTGCAGGGTCTAATTTCTATGGTTCTTTATACAAATTTGGAGGGATTTTCATGTTGCAATTGATTATTAAGTTCCGAGGTCTAATTTTNTCTTCTCTAATAGATTTTTGAGAAATTAGAGTTTGCAGGGTCTAATTTTTATGGTTCTTTATACAAATTTGGAGGGATTTTCATGTTGCAATTGATTATTAAGTTCCGAGGTCTAATTTTTAGAATTTTTTTGTTGAGAAATTAAGCTCCAATTAGGCTTGAATGCCCTCAAGCTTCTGTCAAGCCGAACTTAAGCAAGAATCTAAGCTTGGTAGTTGAGCTCGAGCACAACTAGTCACAACCAAAAATAAAGAGGCTAATACTGTGACTCAAACCCATAATACTCAAATCACATACATACAAAAAATACTGTACATGCATCCGAAGTAAATCATGAGTTTGTACTTATCAAAATAAGGGTCTTCTTTTTGTGGGGTTTCTTTTTTTTGTTGGATGGTGTTTTTTTTTTTTTTTTTGGGNATATTATGTGTACATTAATTTTATATATAAATACAATGATAAAAAATGTATTTATAATTTTTTTTTAAAAATAAAAATNATACATATATTATGTGTACATTAATTTTATATATAAATACAATGATAAAAAATGTATTTATAATTTTTTTTTAAAAATAAAAATATATATATATTTTCCTATCTTACCAAGCACAAAAAAAAATAATCACTTTTATTTTCCATTCATCCTCCTACAAAACACAAAAGAAGGAAAGTATATCATTCTTACTTTCCGTCCTTGGAAAATAGTGTATCCCTCCTACTTTTCATCGTTCCTACCAAACAGAACATAAGTATAGCTTCAACTTGTTTCAAAAATTGCAGCCTAATTCTTAGCATAGAAAATGTGTATGACAGAATTTTTGGTTACATGGACTCTTTTATGACTCACAAAGTACCATACGGACACATATGCGAAGACCAAGAGCATGGATATGGGGCGTGTAAAAAAGTGTGGTATAATAACCCAAACTTACTACATAGTTTATTNTATGCGAAGACCAAGAGCATGGATATGGGGCGTGTAAAAAAGTGTGGTATAATAACCCAAACTTACTACATAGTTTATTATATAACAGATTTACTATCCTCCTCCTCTCACCTGACTGACTAAAATATGGCCAGTGAACAAGCAAAACACTCGTGGTTCACATAAGCACCAACTTACCCTTTGCGATTTACAAGCATTAAAACATTATCTTCCACGATTCTAATATTAAATTTGAGCTTCAAAATGAGTACAAAAAGATTAGAAACTAAAAGAGTAAAATGGGTATAGTGCATGTTATCCTTCTTTAACAAGGCCTTTACTAGATATTTCTAAACTAAATGCACCTAGACACTTACAAAGAGCAAAATAACTGAAAATGAATAACACAAATTTCAAAAGGACAACAAGTAGGTTGCGTGCCCTGGGGATATTTACATTTTTAAAATAAAAATATGACTTATTTCTCGAGCAATGGAAGGAGATTCTATTAAAATATATTACATATAACTTGTATAGATAACATTTAGGTGAAGAGTTTCATAAGGAGTATCGATGCATTGAAGGAGCTAGAAAATGTACATGCGGTCCCTAATGCAACAAAAATTTAAAGATCGCAAGGGCACTTCTCCCACAGATACAAAAATTAAGAAAGCATCACAATTACATGAAGACTGCTGATTTCAATCCGACTAAATCTTGACTAAAAAAAAAATCCGACTAAATCGGCTGATGCATAACAAAAGAGAGCATCTCAAACACAACAATTATGGCAGGTCATGCTATAATATAGGATCAATCAAATAAATGAGACGCAAAAAGGCAGCCACGGTTCTTCAGGTATAAACAGATTAAGTGTGTAGGCATCTTACAACTCTGCGAAGAATAGGTTCCAAGGATGAACAAAGCTTCTGGAGACTATCTACTTTCAGAGCTTCCACAATGACACTGCATGAAACATGCCACAACTAATCAACTTACAATGGTAAGTCACAAGGAGAGTAGAGCTATGAAAGGGCACTTCAGACAAAAATAAAAAAAAACAAACATTTTCAAGACACGAACATTTTAATCCAAGGCATTACCAAACATAGGTCCAGAAAACCAAATGTATATTATTATTCCAATCTTGCCCNCTTCAGACAAAAATAAAAAAAAACAAACATTTTCAAGACACGAACATTTTAATCCAAGGCATTACCAAACATAGGTCCAGAAAACCAAATGTATATTATTATTCCAATCTTGCCCAAATTTTGGGCATTCAAAAATAATGAAGATATAAAAGCCAACAGCCAACAGCCAAAATTCTGTGGTTATCAAAGAGATTAACAATTTGTATAACACAACATGCAAACAGTATCAAAAGGTCAACCCCAACTTGTAAGGAGTAAATTCAAAACAAGAAGTGCGCGTGCGCGTGCGCATGCACAACCAACAAANAGGTCAACCCCAACTTGTAAGGAGTAAATTCAAAACAAGAAGTGCGCGTGCGCGTGCACAACCAACAAGCTTAGTTTAACAGAGGAAAGATGGACAAGAAATCCAAAAGATCTCCAAAGGAACACTATAATATGATGAAATAAACTCCCACAGAAAAAACAATATGAATTAATCCGGATTTTAGATACCTACTCAAGTTATAGTTACCCCTTGGAGATAAGTGGTTCCAACCCAAAAATGATGATAGTTGAAAGGAAGGTGAAATATAAATGATGAACAGAGATGTCTTAAAGCATAAAACAGAACTTATTTTGATGTAGGATATAGTACAGATGATTTCATATACCAGAGGCCAAATGGCTAGACATGGTTCAAAGTCGCGATCTCAGCTCCCATCTCATGAGTAGGGGGGCAATTTTTTATGTCATCAACGCATTGTGTCACAGTTGCCACAACACACNGTTCAAAGTCGCGATCTCAGCTCCCATCTCATGAGTAGGGGGGCAATTTTTTATGTCATCAACGCATTGTGTCACAGTTGCCACAACACACAATGTAAACAACAGAAAGGATGCATCACATATCAAAAAAACACCATATAGCACATAGATATCATATAAATTACTATTACAGGCGTACATCACCATAATACATAATTATCTAACAATAATGATTCAGGACAAACCAAATAAATAAAAATTGTAATTTCACCACCATGTCTTCAGCTTTGCTAGCATTTCCTTAATGCTTTTCCAGTTTCGGTCACCCAATGAGATCTCGATTAACCTCTAAGTTTGCTTGCCAAAGTTTTTCCAAGGGAAACCATTCCCTCTAAAGAGGGATTTAACTTTAATAAGGTTAACAAACTGCACGAACTAAGTATTACAACATTCAATTGCAAAGTGCCTGATCATAAACAACTATTGCAAGTGACATGCTATTCAGATGGAGCAAGCAAAACCAGTACCACTAGAAATAAAAAGTAGAAAACGGACAATTGAATGAAGTTGGTGTTGTGTATCCGGTGTGCTCGGAAAGCAAATGACCCCCTCAAACCAAAAAAGACAGACCAATTCGAGGCTTGCCAAAAAAACAAAAAAAAAAGAAAAGAAAAAGACAGACCAATCAAGAAGTGAGAGAAGCAGCAACAGAAAAGAATTTGCATATACAGAGACTCTGGCACAAAGATGCTTGAAGAATATCAAAATATTCTTCCTTCCACTCGGCAGACAGAAAAAGATGCAGAAAATTATAGACCTAAATTAACTTCCTCTTACAATTCTCAAATAATATTGGGAAAAATATATAGCTGATTGTGAAAATTCTTTAATCAATAAGCTTGCTACTTACTTTTCCAAATCAAGCAATCAATAAAACTAACATATATAAAAATGTGAAAAACTTTATTTAGTCTTGTTTGTTTTCTCTCAAAATTACCCTTTGAATGCTCATAATCATCACCAGCAACCAAGGTAGAACCTGTCAGAAATTACTAGGCACTATCATACTGCATTTAACTTGTGCAAAAGTTTAAACTGTCAACTTTTATAGCGTTAAAATTCCTGATGATTAAGGCTGTATACGGAATTCAAAATCAACAGATCCAAAACTCAGATATGCAATCTCTACCCACCACAACCGCTGGCCCGGTTCTGAACAAATCAACATAGAATAACAAATCCAAGAAAAATGGGAATGTCCGAAACCATAACTTTAAATAACACCACAAGTATAAAAAGAGGTTGCTACTCAGTTTGGTCCGGTTAACTGACCATCGTAGGAGGGTTGGACTGGGTAAATAACGAAACTTTGCCATTATCTGTACAAAGGGGTCTATGTTATAGTCAGATGTAAGACACTTACTAAAAGGGATGAGGGAGACAATTGACCATTAAACCACAAAATCAACGAAATGTACAAATAAACAACCACAGCAAAGAACTCATACCATGAATTTAATCAACAAAACAACAAATCTACCTAGCTAAGGCGGGCCTTTTCCGCTCTGGCTGCTCGTCTTCATTTCCCTCCAAAGTCCGTTTCCCTCTGCTCATAGAGTTGGTTCTCTCCATATATCTCGTCTGCATTTAGAATCATAAAAGCCCCACAATATCCACAGATCTGTACAACCAGAAAAGGACACAAACTCACTCAAATCCCAAATTAAGCACAAAGCCCTAAATCAGACACACCACACTATCCTCAGATCCACATAATCAACCAGGACTTCACAAAACCAAACCCCACCAAACCCTAATTAAACACCAAAATTTAGAGCAACACGAAGCAGGTTGACCTTTGAATCCAAAATTTTGACCCATTTCACAAATATCATACACTCGAAACGTAACTTGGATACCGAGAAAGTAGCAGAAATGCCATAAACAGCGAGAAAGTGACAGAAAGTACGTAAAACCTCAAACCATTGATAAATTACTCACCCAATATCAACTCTTTTCACCAAACCAAACTTTGAAAAGTTCGCAGAAAGTGCAAGAAAGTTTGAGAAAAACCCTGAGACAGGTAGCGAAAATTGAGCTGAGATCGAAAATCTAGCGGACGCACGCACAATATGTATTTGCGTGTATATATATAGGCACCTTGATATTGAAATGATTGAGCTTACGAGGATAGGAGAACTCGCACACAGACACGCGCAGTGGACTTTTTAGGTGTCGAAAGGGGTCTACTATGACGACTATGAACAGTACTGGTAGTGTAAGAATTTGAGATCCTTTTTGGTTTCTCGTTTGGGACAGTGACTTGTGCTGGAATCGTAACCGTTGGTTTTGGGAGATGTGACGACAAATTGGAGCTGACCACGTCAGCTGGTATTTTATCCATGTGAGGAGGAAGTAGCATTGCTCTACATCTAAATCGTCCTAGTCAAGCACATCGTCGAATTAACAACGGAGCAATAATTTTGATCTAAAGCGATCCAAAATTATTAAATTACNGATGTGACGACAAATTGGAGCTGACCACGTCAGCTGGTATTTTATCCAATGTGAGGAGGAAGTAACATTGCTCTACATTTAAATCCTCCTAGTCAAGCACTTCGCGGAATTAACAACGGAGCAATAATTTTGATCTAAAGCGATCCAAAATTATTAAATTACAATCATAATTGTAATATTATTTCACCAAAATATCAATATTTAATACATGATTTTATAAATACAACTTCATTGAAAAAATATCGTTTAAATGCTCAACCATATATATATATATGAGTAATCAACCATATATATATATGAGTAAGGTACAAAACCGGCAACAAAAAAAAAATTCATATAAAATTTTTTTTTTTATTATTCAGGCTACTGTGCATAAGGAGTTCTCATTTCTCAAACATTCAATAAACTTTTATAATTATTTATTTACGAGTTATTATGCTTTGAAATCGCCACATTACCATTTTATTATCAATTGTACAGAAAACATCTTTTTCGGTGCATACAATCAAGCAAATAGCTTTATCAATTGCATAATTATTTATTTACTATCNATAACTTCATTGAAAAAACATCGTTTAAATGCTCAACCATAGATATATATATATGAGTAATCAACCATATATATATATGAGTAAGGTACAAAATCGGCAACAAAAAAAAAATTCATATAAAAAAACTTTTTTTATTATTCAGGCTACTGTGTGCATAAGGAGTTCTCATTTCTCAAACATTCAATAAACTTTTATAATTATTTCTTTACGAGTTATTATGCTTTGAAAACGCCACATTACCATTTTATTATCAATTGTATAGAAAACATCTTTTTTGGTGCATACAATCAAGCAAATAGCTTTATCAATTGCATAATTATTTATTTACTATCTTCATTATTGAAAATTCTCTTTTGATTTTGTAACAAGTAAGATAAATGCTACCTTTACAAGCAAATATACTAACGGCATACAATATTCTTTTTTATTTCAACTAATTTATTTGCAAGTCCGCCAATTCCTTTAATTTTTATACATTCATTAGAGCGCATATCAAGTATGTAAGTTTCAAGTTCATTGTCAAATATCATGAACTCAATTGGTGAAAATTCTAAAAGAAAATTTTAAGTAACATGAATCAACTTCCCTTTATTAGAAGCAAAGAATGAATTTGATGAATTTAGACATGTGCCACAAATAAGTAGCAATATATTGACTTCACTAAAATGATTGTTAAACTCTTGAAGTTGCATATCTGATATTATATAAAACAATTCAACACAATCAAAATGTAGACTAGTGACTTGTTGAGCATCGTGTCAATATATATCATCCATATTCAGAATAACAGTATCATGTTTTCCATGAAATGAAGAAACCTTAACTAGTAAAGCATCATAACCCAATCAAGATATAAAAGAAACAATAAAATATGATGATGCACAAATTGGATTTGCGCACCACCTCTCGAGTATAAGTAAATAAATGCAGTAATTAATTAGTAAAGAGAGAAGACAAGAATTATAGTGGTTCGGTCAACGTGCCCTATTTCCACTTCTGAATGGTTAGGGTCGCCGGGTACTTTATTAACTCAAGAGTGCTTAGAGAGCAAAGAGTACAAGTTTTGAGAGGGAGATGAGAGTTGTGCTTAGTTGAATGTGGCCCTTAGGTGTTAGTGGGACTTACAATTTATAGTCGTCCTCTAACAGATTTGGGCGACTTAACATCAACTAAGTAACCATTTTGGTGGAGCTCATGACTTCTCCTCGACAGGCGAGGTGGTTGCGACGCTCTCCATGAGACTTTTGAGTTAATAAAGTACCCGGCGACCCTAGCCATTCAGAAGTAGATGTAGGTCACGTTGACTAAACCACTATAATTTTTGTCTTTCTCTCTTTACTGATTAATTACAACATTTATTTACTCATACTCGACAGGTGGTGCGTTGGCGCCGTCAGTGGGAATGACGAAATTCTCACTTCTAAACACTTCATTTGCTGAACTAATGACAATCACCACCAGATCCATGAATCAGCCTGAAGATAACCCCCACAACAAGAGGAGGAGGTTGTTCCTCCACTAACCAATCCTGCCCCAAAATGCCTAGGATATGCTCGAGACCATACAGCAACTTATGGCCCAGAACCAACAGATCTTGTAATTGATGCTCGCTGGGCAATGAGGAGCACAGATTGGACCTCAAGCTCGAGGAGCTCCACGCCCTAGGAGTCAAGGAGCTCCCCACATGGGTGCTCCTCATCTGGACGCCCCCTTTGGAGCCCCCTTGGACATCCCACCCTTAGGAGCCCTAGGCGCCCAGCACAAGGAAGCTCCCTACGAGGGACCTTCACCTCCTCCTACTACTCCCCCTTCTCATGGTGAAGACCCTATTTTCCAAGAGGATGAGGGGGAGCATGAAAGTCATTTCCATAATTCTAAAGGAGCTCCCAACCACTGGGACGAAAAGATAAAAGAGGTGCAAAATCAACTAGGAGACGTCTTCAACGCCATGAAGGCACAATGACCTGAGACTGTGAACCACCTTGTTAGGAGAACTGACACATCTTTCAAGCCTGACGTGGCGAACTACCCCCTCCCTCAAATGTTCAAAATGCCATTGTGGAGACCTTTGACGGAACTAAGGATCCACTAAACTACCTTGAAACCTATCAAACTTTGATGCAGCTGCGCAACGCCTTAGACAAGATCATGTATAGGGCGTTCCCAACTACCCTGAAGGGATTCGCACGACAATGGTTCACCAAGCTCTCCCCAGCTTCCATTGCCTCCTTTGCTGAGCTGAGCAGGTCCTTCGTGTCACATTTCATTGAAGGGTGTCACCACTAGAAGCCTGTCACCCACCTTCTTAGCATAAAGTAGGACCAAAAGGAGAGCCTAACAAGCTACCTCACTCGTTTTAACGAGGAGGTCCTCCAAGTTGAAGAGCCTGGTGACAAAGTGACTATGACTACCTTCTTAGGAGGCCTCCGCTCGTCAAGCTTCCTCTTCTCAGTAATGAAACACCCACCAAATGCATGCCAGAGCTACTAGCAAAGGCCCAAAGTACATGAACGCTGAAGATATCACAAGGGTCAGGTTGTAAACTCCGGATAAATTTAAACTTTTTATAAAAAATGGTAAAACGGTAATTTGTCATTACAGTACGGGTCATAAACCTAAAATTTTCTAGATCTTGGATGATGAAATGGACCTCACTATTGGATTGGTCTCGCAAAATCTAGTTACCACGTCAAATTTCATCGAATTCTGAAATAATCAAATTTTTCGCATTTTACAGGCGCGGTCGAGTCTCGGGTGACCCAAAAAATGGGATTTTTGATAAAATTTTGAAATTTGAAAAATAATTTAAGGAAAATTAAAATAAATTAATTTGAACTTGAACCGAGGTGAAATTTAATCTTTTCGGGATGAAAACGGATCCAAAAAAAAAAGGGTCGTGTGACGCATTTTGGGCAAAGTATTCTAAGGCTATAAATAGGGAAAAATTTGATTTTTGACCTCATTTTTTGTGTTCAGCCGTTAGCTGATAGAGAAGAGAGGGACAGGAGAGAATTTTTCTACCTTCTCTCTAAGATCTACGGAGATTGAGTGATTGAATCCGCTCGGGCCAAGAAGAAAAATTGTTCTCCTCGACATGGGCTACAAAACCATACCAAGGAGGTCATGTTTGGGCGAGATTCCAAGGATGAGATTTTTGGGAAGTAGAGGTTCTATCTTATTTTGGGTCCTTGAAGCTTTTCAATGTCGTTTTATATTTCAAGAGGTCGGGTTCCTTTCTACTTAGATTTATTTACAACCTAGGTTGTCTATATGTAATGGGTGGATTTATAAAATGCTATATCATGTGCCTATGCTTTTGAAATTGATGAAATGAGTATGAAAATGGATATAGAAATGGGTTAAAATAAATTCCTAACTTGGAGTTGATATATGGTAATTACTTTTGTAATTCCATGAAAATGTGATTGTGGGCATGCTATGTGTTTAAAATTATGTCTTGGGGATCAAAGTGTGTTATTGACTTATATTATATAATAACATGCTAGTGATTGTTGTTGGAAAACAAATTATTGATATATGTTTATTGATGTATTAACATTGTGATAAAGTTGGTAATTGTATGAATGAGATGTAAATTACCATGGGATATGTATATATGAGTTTAAAGTTGCTTATTTAACATTTTTTACATATGAGCATGATATTGAAATAGCAATGGGGCATTACATTGCATTTGCACAAAAAAATCGCATCCATAGTCAGGTGTGTGGGTGTGTGTGTGCATAATTGATATCAAACACCAAATAGGTGGATGATGGGTAGGCTCGGAAAAGTTGAATTGAATATCCGGCTGAGTCATACGGTTGCATGAAAAAGAATTGGGTCGAGGTTAGCAAGAAGGACTATCCCTCGGGTAAAAGACCCGGTGATTTGGATACGCACTTCCATTAGTATAAGAGCCCATAAATTGTGTCGATGTACGCGGAACCGTTGGTGGAAGTCTATAAATTTCGTGTCGGTTGGGTGACCGTTGGTGTAAGTCCATAAATACCCACCCCAAGAAAGACCCAAAAATTTTCAAATAGTCATTGGGTGAGGGAAACCAATGGCGGGGGCTTGGGAGCCCAATTTTAAAAACCATGGCATTACATGGAGAAAAAGAGCTAGGCGAGGACTCTGGTTGAGTTGCATGATTGAGTCTCATCTCTCTTCATGGCATGACATTGCTAAAATTTCAACATCGAATGATACACACTCGTTTGGAATGTTGTTGGTTGTAAATTGTTGCATGAGAGCATTGCATATGCACTTAGGTTGGGGAGTAGCCTCTGTAGGAAATACTCTACTGGGCATGACTCACCCTATACGGGAAAATATTTCAGGTGCAGACTAC